TTTTTCACTTTTACCCTTCCAATTCTCTCCCCCGTCCCACCGGGGGTGGGGGGAGTGAGCGAGTGGCTGTGTGGTGCTCAGTTGCTGGCTGAGGTTAAACCATGATACTGTTACTAAAGAAAAGTCTAACACATTCTGAGAAATGAATTCTAAACAAATAAGTCATAAGTAAAGATTATTTTTTCATAAATAAAGATTATTATTTCCTGGGGAAACAAGGCTCATAGGAGTATGCTGTTTGTTTTGCTCGTCAGTCTTTTCCTCTACTAGTAACTTTTGAAACTGATAGCCAGTTTGAAATCACTTGAAAAGAGAAGTGGAAGGTCAAAAATACCTTCCACTTAAAGTTGGTGGCTGGGTGGAGGAGAGAACAAATTAGTATGCTTGAGGCAAGCAGAACATTGACATTATTCATTTTGGCAATAGCCAGGTAGATAGTCCACATATCCTTCCCAGCTACTGGCACAGCATTGCTCGCTCTTGTTCTACATCCTGAGGAATATGGAAAGAGAACAGAAACGGGTGTGGGAGGAGATGATGCGCCTCTGAAACAGTGAACTAGGCTGCATTATTGTCTTGTTTGTGGTCGTATGTTTTTTACAATCTAATTTTCTGACTGCTTTTAACTGAGAATCCCTGAAGAGCGTAGGTTTTATTTCATCTATACCATTAAGCAAGCCGAAGGGATTAAAAGATTTCTGTTCCTTTATTAACATTTGATAGATTTGAGAGCTGAAGATATGCTTTTATTTTTAATGAAACTGCATAGTATTTGAACTGTTATCAGTTTGAATGTTTCCAGAGTTTAATTAGTAATACATGAGCATTGCTCTGAAACACAGTCTTCTGTTAGCTATTTATAGATTTATTGCTTATATGCTGTGCATTTGTTCTGTATGCATACAGTCTGTGAGCATTATTTTAACCTTAATTCTTTGTTGTCTCCTTATTTTCTTAAAATATACTAAGAGATCCGCCAGAATACAATATTAAATCCATACTCCTTAATAAATCAGTTAGCAGGTGGGACTTTTCAGTGGCATCAATATTCATCTCAGTTATCCTAAGTACCGTCATTACAAAATCCCTATTTACTTCCCTTAGTAGAGGTTCAAGCTTTAAATTTTGATTAGACTGGATTTAAATTTAAATTAGACTGGACTTAAATAAATCCAGGCTAAAACAGGACTAGATCCCCTGTCATCTAGTCCTACAAAATTCCAACTAGAAGATGGTAACTCGTGCCAAACCAGAAAGGGTATGGAAATTGTGTGAAAGATCATATTTTAGTTAAATCTCAGCTGCTAGCATTAATAACTAAAAAAAAAAATTCATTTGTTTCGCTGTCTGTCTAAAAATCTTGTAAGCAAATAGAAGAGAACTTAAAAAAGAGCAATCGTAATCATGTTTGTGTGTAAATATATATATTTAGTATGTTCTTTGAGAGAGGCAGCACTGAAAAACTACTTTGTTGCACCTAATGCACACGGAGCTCCTATTTAACTTCTGTCTCTGAATTGTTGAATCAGTGAGTTTTGCCTGTGTGAGAAGTATGGAATGTTGACCAATGCCTAAAGAAATTTCATTAGTTTGTAAAGATGTTAAGCATCTGATATACATTTTTTGTTTTCATCTTAATGTAGGATTTGTTCACACTTCTCATATAGTAGAACTCAATGTAGGGTAGAAGTATCCATGAAAAGGATTAGGCGAAATTTATTTAATCTGTACAGAGGCATTTTAAATTGTTGTCTAAAATCTGCTCAAGGTAGAGTGATTTAAGCATTATTTAATGTAATCTGTTCAAAGGGCATCTGCAGAATCATCATGTACTGATTTCCACAGTCTTGCTACCAGGAAAAAAAAAAAATGTTGGTGCTCTTTGAAGGCCAAAAGAGGCGATTCATGAATGGAGAAGTCAAGTTACAAAGGGCAGAGCAGTGTCTATTTTGCCCTTTTTTTTTTTTTTACTTTTCTTTGCTCCTAGTGATAGCTTCAGTTATTGTTTATAAAAGATTTGATACTTCCAGAATGTAACGAGTAAATCATACTAATGAAGAAAATTAGGAAATAATGTGCTAAAAACCCATCAAAGTGGATTTCCATAGACTTAAGTGTCTTACTGTATAAATTTAAATTTGAATTATAACTAATGCTTATTTTACTTCTGCTTAGGTTAAGAATGTCATATATTATTTAGGTGATTTTTTTTTTTTTTTAACCCTTCTGTAGTCAATTCGTTACATTGCAACTGCTGGCCAGAAAGGATTGTGGAAGGCTGCTTGGTATTTTGCAAGCCGCCCAGTGTAGTGGATCCCAGGAACAACCAATCCATTTTTCTTTTCCTCAGGGAAGAGGCACAAAAGGCTGGGGAAGAGGTGGGGCAGCAGAGGCACTCGCTTGTGTGAAATGTGCAAAAGATTTTGTATTAAGTTTTGTTTCATGTTGAAGTGAAACAGATTTCTCAAATGTGTTATTTGGGATGGAAGAGAAGTGTGCGATGAAGGGGAAGAAGGAGGGGTCGTAACCCTAGAATACCAGCAGGCTGCTAACTACAACGTTTGCATGAATATTGATTCACTTAAAGTATCTGCACTAAGCAAAGTTCAGTATTATGACTTCAGACAGCATAAATTTGAACAGGAATCTCTCACATCCATGCAAGTGCTGTAACTCAGCAAACAGGAATTCAGGGTTTCCTTAGTCCCTCACATTTTGAAAAGAAACACTACTCTGGATTGTCTAGTTCGCTTGCTTGCCAAAGGCAAATTAGCAAGTACACTCAATGTTACACTCTGAAAATATAGAACTATAAAATATGTATCCATCCTTAATTTATAAAAAGAAGTAAAAATTATTGGGGACTTCAATGAAAAATGTGCTATTTTTTAGCATTGTTTAATCCTCTGAGTAATGATTTGAAGCAGTCTTACCCTTTTGGAACGTGTGCTGTCAAGGCAGGACTATCCAGGTGTTGCAAACTTAGTTTCTGTCATACAGTTTTAGTAGATACTATGGAAGATCTTTCAAAACAGTAAATGTCTAGATTATTTTTAGAAAGAGGAGTCGTCATTTTGTTTAGAAAGGTGTACATTTCCAGTATATGGAAGTCTGATCTTAATTCATATATCCTCAATGCAAATGTAGTGCGTGCATTACATTATCCTTTCATATCATTTTAATTGTTCAGAAACCTATTTTTATGTCCCCTTCATTCACCTTTCATCTTTATAGAATCTTCAGTGTATACATTTATGAATTATTTTAATCTCTCAGATTTTCAAAGGTATAAAGAGAATTCATGAATTGTGCACATAATATGAGTTTACTTTGTATCTCTGCAGATTTGATTCTGAACATAAGACTTGTCTGTCTTTTATAGCTTTCTTTTTATATTTGTTTTGGAATCCCATGCTAAAGTGAGATGATTAACAGCAAAGATTTATTAAAGTTTGATTGCTATGACTGTGAATAGGAGATTGTCTCATATTGGACAGATGATAGCCAAGCTGATCAAACTCCTCAGCTGTAAGAGGCTGGTAAATAGGCGTTGCATCAACTGGCAGGGCAGTTTGACCATCTGATCAGGCAGACAAGCAGTAACTGTAAATGGGAAGCTATCTAATTAACGTTTTTTACAGCAAAAGTTTTCACTCCACCTCACTGTCTGCTTATCTAGCCGAAAATTTTGTCAGTAATGATTTTACAGGAGGCAGTGTTGAAAACCACAGTAAAGTCAAGGTAAATGATACTCACTGCTTTCCCCTCATCCACTCAGCCAGTCACCTCATTGTAGACAGCGATCAGGTTGGTTAAGTACGGTTTCCCCTTAATAAATCCATGCTGACTACTACCGTGATGGCCTTCCTGCCTTTCGTGTGTTTGGAAATGGTTTCCAGGAGCATTCATCCTATGCAAACTTGTAAATGGTGGGCAAGTATTTTTATTCTCATATATATGTGTGTGTGTGTATACATGTGAGCTGGCTAGAGGAATAAACTAGATTGTTAATAGGATGCAGTGGTCTGCTTTTGACTGGTTAAGACGTGGTAGTTATTCTTAGACATACAAATTTGGGTCAGAGTATCCTTTTGTCAGTCAAAAATACTCATCTACAAAGAGATACTGAATATTGATGTAGGGGTATACATTTATATAAAAATACAAATTATAGTCATTCTATTTAATGTATATTACTTTTTTCTTTGAAAGAACTCCAATACATTTATATATAGAAATGATAATTTCTTCTGGTAGTGTTTTACAAAATAATGTCATGTTTACTTTGTAAAGCAGTATGTTTCATTACATAATGGCTATACATCTCCATTTCAGGGAACAAATAAAACTGTTTTTTTTTTAATAGACAAGACTGTGGCAAAAAAAAAAATTACTAATATAATTCTCATGTAAGTTCACATCACTCCTCCTGTGGTTCAAGAGAAATGCCTTGGTTACTGCTTGTTAAACAACAATATGAAAGTGAAATGTTTGAATTTGAAAATATAGTGAATCTTCTATCAGTTAGCATTTCATCAAGTTTCTTCCTGATAACTCTGTTGGCAGAAAACTCCAGTATAGCTCTTAGCTTGCTCATGAATTTGAATTTCAAAGGATTCATTTGTTCATTTGTCTACCTGTGACAAACAGAATTACTGTATGTGCAGGGTAGTCACCCACTTTCTATGACAGCAGATGGGCATGATGACAGCTAATGCTGAAAAGCTGCCTCCTGGGGAATTCACACTCTTGGAGGAGTTTGTTCATATGACAGTTTCCTGTAGTACTAATCTTTTGAGAAAATAAAGTTTCTAGGTAATGGATGTGGGTTTCTCATATATCTCATATGTATGTAATTAATAGAGTTTTAAACTCTAAAATTTTGAATTTCACTGTTTTTCTTTAAAATTTTAATTCCATTTCTATTTAAGGTAATTGTTTGGGGTAAAAAAGACGGAGACGTATTTTGAAAGATTAAATTTACTATTATTTCTCTTTAGTTTCAGGCACTGCATGCTGTATCACACACGCTGGTTTTGCTAGGAAGGAACAACATACTAAGAAATTCTTTAATATCTTTGCTACTGTCAGAAGTACGTCAGTTTGCTGAGCAGCTGTTGCAAGCTCACCAGGTACTGTCATCTTTTCTTTTGGAGAAGGGCCAAAGTGTGGTATTGGGGAATGTTTTGTCCATATCTATTTGTTTCATAAAATGTAATAAATGGATCATTCTGTAGAATATGCAGGTTTAAGAATCCAGAAAATGTTAGCACCTAACTTCAACAGCAGATTCAAAAAAAGATATATAAAGTAAAAGAAAATTTCCTTATGGACAAAAGTAAAATTATCATACTGTATAATAAATAGACTGTATAAGTTTTAAGATCACGCTATATAATTTGAAAAATACTTGAAATAATTAGTTAAAGCAATTATTGCAACATGTAAATTGTGAGCCATGCAGGCAATACAACTTAGGTATCCAGCTGGACCCACAAAGAATTATGTCTATCTCTAGCTCATGAAAAACTGGAAAGAAAGTTGCATTATTTTATTTCAGAATTAGATTTCATTTGCTTTTTATAATATTAATTTGCATAATAGAAAAGTTATCCAACATTTAAAATTGTACTTAGTTTGTTGCAATGAGTAGGAGATGAAGACCAGAATAGAATGGAGATAATATTTTTGGTAAAATTTCTTTTTAGGTTGAATTTTTACCAGTAAATTATAGAGTTTAAAAAAAACAGAGAGAGAGAGACAGTAAGTGGATGTTCCTTTAACATTTGGAGAAGAGATGTATGAAATAAATTCGGGTTTCGTAGATTTTTCATGTATTTGTATGTGGTGGTATGTATTTAATGCAAACTGTTCAATCTCACTTGGGATTATGACTTGATTGTACACTATCCTAGAAAAGTCAATAAAAAGAAAGCATGCAGCTTTTTATTTGGTGGAAAATAAAGTTAGTGAGAGGTATATATATACAAAATATTCCTCATAGGTATATCTAGTGGTGGTCCAGTTTAACAAATGTTTTAAGTGTTGCTCAAGCAGTCTTAACTTTATTCTTTTTCTCTCTAGGATATGATATGGGAGTAAGTTCTGACAGATGGAGAGGGAACATGTAATTTCCAACCCAAATTTATAGTATGTTTGAATTATATTCTGAAAAGGCTTCAGAAAGGCCAGTTTTGAAAGAATTAGACAATGAGCTGTGTCTTATTTTAAGTCACTAGTAGCATACCAGAGTTATTGATGGCAACCAAAATCGAACAGACTTGAAACAAATGTAACGATAGGGAAGTGTGTAATTAAAAAAAAGTTTTGTTTTTTAAGTTTAAACAAGTTGCTCATTTTTATCATTATTAAATTTAACCTGTTTAACAGAGTTAGTCATCCTTCCTTTCAGCAAAGTTTTTGCCAGTAGCAACACAGAACTCTCCAGTGCTCCACACTGATGAAAAGCTTACATTGGACATTACACTTTGCTTAGTTACTGCGGTACTACTTAACCTTGCCATACTGTAATTATTTTAAGTATTGCTTTCATATTTGGTACATAAAATCTATTTCTAAAAATTTCTAGAAGAAGTTTGACTCCTCTTCAGCTTCACTTTATGTTGGAAAGAATCATATATTTGATTTTAAGACCATAATAAGAGAGATTACAAAACTGTATAATTTGCAGTTGAGAAGATGGAAATAAATTAGTATCCTGTGATTTTAACCGTAAAATATTTTCTTTAACTACATGAGCAATTTTGATTTTTCTAATGGCATTTTATTACTGGCTGTGTAATTTGTATATTTATGGGAAGATAGTAGAAGATTTGTTTCATATATAAATATAGAGAAGTTGGTAATTTAATCCCTGAACAATTCTTATACTGCAGCTGGTATAATAAATTGCTTAAATGCCAGTCTCACTAGGGTGGCTTGATACCCCTAGTTGATGTTTACAGCAGTTTTCCTGGCTTTTTACCTCTGGGAAAGCTATCACTTGATTTCCTGCCTACCCCCCTGCCCCCCCGCACTGTCAAGAAACGGGAACCTTCAATTGTAGTTCCTGGAGCAACTGAAAAAGTTGTATCTAGCACTGAAGGGAAGGCGCCTGTGGAGTGGGAGACCATTTCCAGGGGGACAGAGACTTGTACTGCTTTACTGAAAAGAGAAAATAAAGATGTTTTTGATCTTATAGATCTATTTGTTTCTTCATACTTAGTATATGTGGACTGAAATTTGGGACAGTAAAATTTTCAGCTTCAGGACCAAATCCTTTTTCAGGTTAAGTCTTTGCTACCAGTAGCCCTCCATCTGTCTCATTTTAATGACCTTGCATTTGTGCTTGCTGCAAATCTTAGGCATTATCAGTCCACAGTACCGATTTTCAGACTTTCTCCTACCAAGATCCTCGAAATGCCCCCCACCTTTACAAGTGAGGAAATGTCTATTTGTTATTGTGCAACAGGAAACTTAGAAAGATTTTCTGACACAACACTTAATAAGGTTTCCTTTCACCCTTTTTTTAAACAGCCCTTTCTGTTCACCCAGAGAAATAATGTAATTCTCTCATATTCAAGAATTTAGAGCCATGTTTACATAAGGAGAGTTTCCTGCTCCACTTCTGCTTCCTCCCACTAAGTTGTCAGTCTGCCTTCTGCTACTGAAATGTGGTAGACCCTCTTTTTCCCTCTTTTTTCCCTTCCCTTCCCTTCCCTTCCCTTCCCTTCCCTTCCCTTCCCTTCCCTTCCCTTCCCTTCCCTTCCCTTCCCTTCCCTTCCCTTCCCTTCCCTTCCCTTCCCTTCCCTTCCCTTCCCTTCCCTTCCCTTCCCTTCCCTTCCCTTCCCTTCCCTTCCCTTCCCTTCCCTTCCCTTCCCTTCCCTTCCCTTCCCTTCCCTTCCCTTCCCTTCCCTTCCCTTCCCTTCCCTTCCCTTCCCTTCCCTTCCCTTCCCTTCCCTTCCCTTCCCTTCCCTTCCCTTCCCTTCCCTTCCCTTCCCTTCCCTTCCCTTCCCTTCCCTTCCCTTCCCTTCCCTTCCCTTCCCTTCCCTTCCCTTCCCTTCCCTTCCCTTCCCTTCCCTTCCCTTCCCTTCCCTTCCCTTCCCTTCCCTTCCCTTCCCTTCCCTTCCCTTCCCTTCCCTTCCCTTCCCTTTTCCCTTTTCCCTTTTCCCCCTTCCCTTTTCCCTTTTCCCCCTTCCCTTTTCCCTTTTCCCTTTTCCCCCTTCCCTTTTCCCTTTTCCCTTTCCTTTCCTTTCCTTTCTTCTCTTTTCCTTTCTTTTCTTTTCTTTTCTCTTTTCTTTTCTCTTTTCTTTTCTTTTCTTTTTTCTTTTCTTTTCTTTTCTTTTCTTTTTTCTTTTCTTTTCTTTTTTCTTTTCTTTTCTTTTTTCTTTTCTTTTCTTTTCTTTTCTTTTTTCTTTTCTTTTCTCTTTTCTTTTCTCTTTTCTTTTCTCTTTTCTTTTCCTTTCCTTCTCTTTCCTTCTCTTCTGATACAGAAGATTAATGCATCTTGATCAACCAACCACAAACCGTGGTCTGGAGTACAACTTTCAAATAATCTTACCAAAGCTTATGGGGCTTTCTTTTGAGTCCTTTTAAAACACTTTGCGTTTAAGTGACTATCAGAAGAATAAGTGAGCTTCAGGCACTTAGGTAGAGACTCCAATGACTAATTTTACAATGACAAAGTAGTCTTGAAATGTTCATCCCCCAACAAAGTGTTGGCCTTTTTCTGGGAATAGCGGAAGGTTCAAGGTGGGTGAATTTGAAGCCACAGGAGCTGTGC